AGAATCAATAGGGATAGAAGGAACCCATTTAAAGAACTCATATAGGCAAAACAACGGAGAAGGGGTGGAGCAGGCGACTCTGGCACACTGAGTGGCGCTAGCCCCTTTCCTACAGACATACTTTGTTGGCGCTATGGTGGGGCAGCGCGCCAGCCCTTTCCCAGAAAAAAAAACCCGACGAATTTCTTTGCTCATTTTCTGGTAATTCGCCTAGAATCAAATGGTTTCTTCCCAACTTACTTAGTTTCAAATACCTATCCTAAGTAAACGAAAATCTAAGAAAAAACAATTCTCAAACTCCTAACTTTTTGTAACACCCCAGAATTATTGAGCTAAAACTCAAACCATTCTTCATACGAAGTTAGAATTTTATGGAGGAATTTCAAATTTTCTTAAGTTTTAGGGTCGCTAGATGTAGCACCTTGAGTTCCAAAAAGAACTAAAGAGAATTCCTTCAATTCATTCCTAGGTTCTTCTAAGTTTGGGGTCAACTTTAAACGACCATAACATTTAGCACATGATGAGTTAGGAAATCCATAAGCTATCAAATAAAATATCTCTGAGTCCTCTTTCCAACGCCACCGAGTTTGATAATTTTAAAGATCGTATGGGGGAGATATGCTCGTTTGAATTCGGACTATCCAAATAAGGAAAGTTCCCCAAAAATATGAAGGGAAATTTGGTCTTTTCCTTACCCAATCAGCTTAAAACAAATTTTAGTAATATTTTGGGGACATATATGATTTGGTTCAGTTTTCATAAATCCAAATAAGCTTAGGGTTTTAGAAGATAGTTCATTCAAGTCATTCCTAAGTTTTTTCAAGTTTTGGGTCAACTTCAAATGACCATAACTTTCAGCACAAGATAAGTTAGGAGACCCATAAGATATCAATTGAAAGGTCTTGGAATCCTCTTTCCAACGCCATCGGGTTTGCTAATTTTAAAGCTCATATGATGGAGATATGCCCTTTTGAATTTAGGCTGTCCATTTAAGGAAAATTACCCAAAAATAAGAGGGGTATTTTATTCTTTTCCTTAACCCCACTTATTCTAAACGCAAATTTCACCCAATTAAGGATCTAAACTGATTAGAATCAGTTTCATTCATCCTCAAAGAGTTTAGGGTTTTAGAGAGAAGATTCAAGAGTAGAAAAAAATCAAAGTAGACTCCATTCAAGATTCTTTCAATCTTTTTCAAGTTTCTTCTTCAAGGTATGTCTTTCTCCAAATATTCCTTCTTTCCAACTCAAATCCCTTCATACAATTATGAATCACTAATGAAAATCAAGAAACTAATTCATGAATCTCAAGAAACGTTTTCTTGATTGTTTATCTTCAAGTTAGGATTTCAAGGATTCTAATCAAGTTCTTCTTCAAGATTCTTCAAGAACCTTGTTCTTTGAGGTACATAAGCTTCCATAGTGTTGGGATTGTTCGCCACACGCCAATCATGAGTTTCTTTTATGAATTTCATCCATGATATTGAGTATGTTGATAATCTTGTTGAGTTCATGAGGTTTTGTGCTTCGTTCTTTGATAATGAAGTTCTTGTTGAGTTCTTGAGAAGAGAGCTGCGAATGTGTGATTGTTTTGGTAGGTCTTGATTGGGATTTTGACCTAAGCGTGTTTAGTATATGAATCCAAAAGAATTAGGAGGAGAATGTATTTCTGAATCTACACTATCATCGAGATCCTTCACATCATGAATCATAACTCTTGAATTCATAATTCAAATTCAAGAAAGTCTTTGAGTTCAATTGTGAATCCTTTGAGATAAACTATCGATTTGAGCTAAGTTTTGAGGAAGTAAGTATGAGAATAAGAAGAGTTGTATACCCTGAGTTCAATATTATTATTTAGACCCTTGAGTCGAGTCGTTCATGCCCATAAATTTTGAATGGACTCCAGCAGTTGAGTATCTTTGAGAGGAGTAGTATCTTCAAGTTCTAAGTCTTGGGTATTGACTTCCTAATAATTTTGGGATTATATTTATAATCATGGGACTACTGCATGTTACCATTAAGGTCCTTGAGTTGAGTAGTTCATGTCCATAATTCCACATGAACCCTATGAGTCGAGCAGTCTTCAGATGAGAAGAATTATTGATTCCTTGAGTTTGAGTAGTTCATGCCTATAATTCCGCATGAACCCTCTGAGTCTAGCATTCTTGAGATGAGTAGTATCATTGACTCCTTGAGTTCTGGAGTTGTTAAGTTCCAAGTATTAAGTTCTATCGTTCACGTCCATGATTCGGCATGGACCCTATTTTAAAAAGTGTTTATACAAATTATTTTAAAACTTGTTTTAACGACTTGAGCACTGAGTTGAGGAAGAGTAGAGCTGAGTTCATTTTCTTTAAAATGATATATGGGAACTAAGTATTCCCAAGAGTAAATTTTTTACATTTAAGATGAGAGGAAACTAACATTTCCAAAAGAGTTTTGAACAATTTGAGTACCATCTCTTTTAAGAAAAAGATTTTTTAGTAATAATCTCAAAATACATAAAGAGTTATGTTTTTAAACATATGAGCTAGCTATATTTTGAGAGTAGTATTGAGCACCGATATGGGGGAGAGTTCAGAAAACTCACAGCCCCCATAAACCATGTAGCCAACGTGGGTAGAAAGGGTCATACTTTCTAGATGATTCCTTAATGTTTTTTAGCATAGACTAGTGGATCCACTTAGTAGTAGGTTCTATACCCCGACAAAGTATAGGATAGTTTTGGCAGCGTGGGCTAGACCTTATATCATCACATAGCTCATAGTAATGGTTGTCGGTCAGAGAATCTCACACAGAGAAATTTTGTTTTTTTATATATGAACTGAGTATTCTTGTATTTTTTAAAATACATTGAGTTGCTAAGTACAATTTTACAACTTTTTATATATTGCATCTTTTGTTGTTGCTTTACCCTTGAGTATACAAAGTTGAACTATGTTTCACAGAGTTGAGTATCTTATTGTTGAGTTGAGCCCTATTTCTCTAAGTTGAATATATTACTATTGAGACCTATTTTCTCTGAGTTAAGTTGAACTATGTTCCATTATGTTGAGTTGAGTTGAGATGAGTGAGTTGAGAAGAGGTAAGTACGTTTCTTTTCCATCAGTTTAAGCTTACATTTATGCTTTAGAATTTCCCTTACATGCTCGTACATTCCACGTACTGAGCCATTTGGCCTGCATTGTTTCATGATGCAGATACAGGTATATAGAATCCTCAACATGCGTTTTGTTGAGGTCATGCGATATTCCAGTCATCTTTGGTGAGACATTTTATATTCTGAAGGACGTCACCTTTATCTTACGGTTAGTAGTTTTTAGATGTCGTGGGTCTTGTCCCGATATCTTTTTGTAATAGTAACGGTTTCATAGATAGACATAGTTGATGAGTTTCTGTATTTACTTTTATCTTGAGTATTGTACAGAATTTTTAGAAAAGGTAGAGTATTTGAGTTCAATGAAATTTAATTCAGTTTTTAAGATTTTGTATGCTTGAGTTAGTCTTCCGCTTGTAGTCAGCCGAGATGAAGGTTCACTTGGAGATTAACAATGCTTCTCGAGTGCCGGCCACATCCAGGGTGTAGGCTCGGGTCATGACACTTTCATATCAAGAACTCATCAACCCATCCTAATTCAAGAACAAAAACAATGCTTCAAGATTACTAATGGAATTTCAAGAAACCTCATCAAGAACTTAAATTGCTCAATTTTTATGGATAGATTCGCAAAAGAAACTCATGATTGGCATGTGGGTAATGAACTTAGGACTATGAAAGCTTACATGCCTCTTAGGATAAAATCCTAGGTGAAATCCCTCAAAGAATCGCAAGAATCTTGAAGAACGCCTTGAACATTCCCTCTTTTCTCCTTTTTTCTCTTCTTGAACTCCTCTAAAAACCCTAAGCGTATTTTAGGAATAAATAAAACTGATTCCAATCATTTTAGACTCCTAAAACTTAACGAAAAACATTTAAATCTGATTGAATAAGGAAAGGACCAAATTACCCCTCATATTTTTGGGTAACTTTCCTTAATTGGACAACCCGACTTCAAACGGGCATATCTCTCTCATACAAGCTCGGAAATTAGAAAACCTGGCAGGGTTGGAAAGTGGATTCCAAGACCTTTCATTTGATATATTATGAGTCTCCTAACTCATCATGTGCTAAAAGTTATGGTTGTTTGAAGTTGACCCAAAACTTAAAATAACTTAGGAATTACTTGAATGAACTCTCTTCTAAAACCCTAAGCATATTTGAATTTATGAAAACATACCCAAATCAGATTTGTCCCTAAAATATTATTAAAATTCATTTCAAGCTGATTGGGTAAGGAAAAGACCAAATTACCCTTCATCTTTTTGGGTAACTTTCCTCATTTGGATAGACTAACTTCAAATGGGCATATTCCCCTCATTAAAGCATGATAATTAGGAAACTCGGCGGCGTTGGAAAGAGGATTCCAAGACCTTTCATTTGGTATCTTTTGGGTCTCCTAAATCATCATGTGCGAAAAGTTATGGTCGTCTGAAGTTGACTCCAAACTTAGAAGAACCTAGGAATGACTTGAAGGAATTCTCTTTAGTTCTTTTTGGAACTAAATGAGCTTCATCAGTGACCTTGACACCTAAAATTATTTTAAATTCCTCCAAAAAATCCTACTCTCAACAAAAAATGGTTCGAGTCTTACCTCAAAATTTTATGGGATGTTATATCCTTGACCAATGTGGTTAATTGAATGACCTCCTTGTTTCTGAAGTATTGATTCTTCTTGAGTAAGCATAATGGACAATTCACTAACATCCCACTTATCCTTAATAGTGTAATAGTTAATTTGGAATGGTCCATACTCAAGAGGCAATGAGTTCAGAATAAACTGAACCAAGAAGGTGTCATCAACTTTCATCCCCAAGGTCCGAAGTCTTGCCGCAATGTTGGTCATCTCGATGATATGATTTTTTATACTACACGACCCATCAAATTTCATGGTCGTGAGTTTAGCCACTAGTGTACCAGCGAGAGTAATCAGCAGAACAAAAATATTCTTCCACAAACTTCAGGTATTCCTTGGCATTTTCTGTTTGTGGAATAGTATTATTAATGTTGTTACCAACAATCATCTGCATGAACATAAGGCTCAATCTATTAGAGCGCGCCCATGATTTATGAGAAGACTTCTCATCCTCACTGCTCTTATCAGTAGTAGCAGTGAGTTTGTCATTCAGCAGAGCCTAGTCAAGATTCATCACACCTAAGTGGAACTGGACTTGTTCATGCCATTCAGAGAAGTTCATTCCATTGAACACAGTAACAGACGAAGCATGCGAATGAAGAGGAATAACTGCAAAATAAATATACATTCTCACAAATTAGAAAATAATGTGAATTCAGTAAAGCGATAAAAAATATATCATAGTTCTCCTTTGGGTAGATACTACGACACATTATCATAATTTAGCTGCATTTTTTAATCTTTAATAGGTAATTCAATATTTTTAGTCAAACATATATGGCATCTGTAACACCTCGAATTTGAGAAAGACCAAATTGTAGATTTTCAGAAATTGCAGGTGCCATCGACGGAGGCCAAACCATGGCCCCTGACTTGGACAACGGACCGTTGGTAGGGTCTGTGGGTTGGCCACCCAAAATTCCTAGAAAAATCATAACCCACAGCCAGACCTACGACTGTAGGTGGGCCTACGGTCTGTAGATTGTGACCCTCAAAACCTAGTCCCAGACGCCAAATGACGCCATGCCTAGATGGACCGTTGGTCAGTCCACGGTCCGTCGATGGCCTTGTCAACTTTTAAATCAGGGTCACTTTTGTTATTTTCCCTATGCATTGGGCATTTAAACTACGTTGTTTAATACCTAAACTACGTCGTTTTACTTTGTTAAGCCTAATAATTTAGTCAGAACCTACCCAAAACCTTTATTCACCAAAATTCACCAGAACTTAGAGCGAAAAGGAGGAGAAAGAGTCTACCAACCCGTCAAGAATACGCAGTAGGTTTTCTTCAGTTCCAGCCCCGAACTCAAAGGATTTCTGTGTAGATTTTGTCACCGGGTATTTGGGATTTCACTAGTGGGTTACTTTCATCTACTAGGTCCCTAGAACTCAGTTAGATTCTTGATTCGCTATATCTTGTTTAGAACTAGGGTTTCTAAAACCTTGGATAAATGTGGTGATTTAGTTTTTGTAGTATTCGTAATCGAATTATCATGTTTTCTTAGTTACTTGCATGAAACTCAAAACCCTAGTTGTGTAGATTCTCTTAGTTCATGAATTACACATGCTAGTTCAGTTAAACATATATATATGCTCCAGTTTCGAATGTTTCATTGTCAGTACGTAAATGTTGCATTCTTAGATTTGCATGTCAGAATATTGAGTTATCAAGTATTTTAGTTATGTAGTGTCATACACATTTCAAGTTGGGAGTAGGCTTAGCACCGAGTTGGACTAGGGTTCATTGTACCCTCATAGTCCTAGAACTACATGCCCCCATAGGAATGTAAGTCTCTATTGGGCATCAGATTTAGTGATCACGTCGGTCATGCCTTTATACCTAGGACAAGGTATATTGGGTCCTCTCTGTAACACCCCAGAAATTAGTAGGCCAAAACTAGAGCTAAACGTGAAGGTTAGAGTCAAGGAGGTGGGCAAGGGCCAAATGAGGGGACTAGGGCAATCCACTCTCCCCTAGACACTACCCTAGAGACCATGACCACCACTAAAACTTGTGGTAGGGACCACAACTCGTGGTGTGGTCCGTGGTGGGATAGGCAGTGGGCTTGCCAAGCTACCCAAAAAGAGACCCTCCTCCACAAGTCACTTGACGACCACCAAGGGTTGTGGGAGGGGTCGTGGTCTTCACTTAGCCTCAAGGGGGCCAAGTCATGAAGACCTAGCTAATACCTCAAGGTCCACAGAGGGGACCACAGCTCGTGATCATGACCACGGCTCGTGGGGCCTCTCGTGGTCCCTAGGCAGGTCACTTAAATGAATGGTTATTTTTGGAAGTTCCTTTTTAGGTTGGTATTAAATGAGGTCATTTTGTCTTAGTTTTATACACCTATATAAGTCATTTTTAAGTCAAAATATACCCATTCACTTCATTATTCCTCAAACCCCAAATTAAATCCCCAAAGAGTTCATCTTCCCCAAATATTCTCTCTTTAGAATTTCAAGGAAGAAGAAGAAGGAAGTTGGAGCTAGGGTTCAAGGAACAAGATCTTCTACTAGAATTCATTGGATTCCATTGCTAAGGTATGGTAGTCCTTCATCCATGGATATCCTTCATCCAAGGAGTCCCTTCAAAACCCCAATTTTAAAGATAGAAATACCCACAAAGTTAGGCTTTGATTCCAAAGTCATGGGTTCCTTTCAAAATCATTGGTAATGATTAAATTATGATATATTATGTATGAATTGATGATTTCCTGTGGTTTTTATCATCACGCCCCAAACTCAAGGGGAGCAATTGGCTCCTAATGCTAAAACTTAAGCCCGAGACAACCCTGCTGAATCATTTTCTACTAGCACATGGCAGCCACACGCAATCGAGGAAACAAACAAGTATATCTCAGCTTAAAACTAAGCTCTCGGCCGGCAAGGCCCATGTCAACAAATCTATAAAAAAAACAATTACTCCCAAAGGTTTATATAAAAAAAATAGCCAACTAGCACAGAAGTCCTGATTGGGCTGTCAAGGCCATCATGATCTCTATACCAAAACTAAAAGCAGGTATATATCAAGACAATACAGCAAACAACTCACAAGCTTCAACAAACCAACAAACTAGGCCAGCATGGCCATAACGTAGCTATACACCCACACACTAGTCTGCTAGCCTCTAAGAGTGGTAACGATTAGTGGGACAAGGCCCCAGCCTACGTATAAAAATATATACAACAAAAACTAACAAACCTCCCAACTTTGGCAGCTTCGGAGGAAAGGCGCTAGCCAACCAGATAGAAGTCAATCCTGCTGCTGAGGAGGTCTGCTGGGTCTTCTGTTGGGACCTGCATTCATGAATGCAGTGCCCCCTAGGTAGTGGGGCATAAGTACGAAATAATGTACAAAGTATAAACAACTATAGACTAAATGAGCAAGTATCATAATATACCAAAAGCAATCAGGTAAGGAAATCAAAATTTAGATAAGCATGCTAACCCACTACTGAATCTAAAAATACAAAAATGATCAAACAACAACCTCTCATAAGCTCGGCAAGGACAAGAAACACACCACCTATCTAGGCCCCCATAAGCCTAGAAGGTGCCAAATCAATGTACATACCCCTATTGGTAGCCCCATGTCTTTGTAAGAAGTCACATATCCCTTTTGGGCAACGATATAGCCCCGTAGGCAGCGCATAGCCATCTTAAGCAACATCATAGCTCTATGGCCTGCACATAACCCTCTTTTGTATCAACATAGCCTTGTAGGCAACACATAGCCCTCTTTGGCATCAAAATAAGCCCGTAAGTAACACATAACACACTTTGGTATCAATATAGCCCTATGGGCAACACATATCCCTCTTAGGCAGTAACATAGTCCTCTTAGACAACATCATAACCCCATAGGAAGTTCATAGGTCAATAGCTAACAACAATAGCCCCAACGGTGACAACAAACAATTGAATAGGCTAAAGGCGAGCAATTTAGATTTAAACAATATATATGAATAGTCTCCAAGTAGTTCCTAACTTAGGGTCATTCTTAACAGAGTATGAGTCCTTAAAATGAGGGTTTATAAACACTCAATCAGCTAACCACTCACAATTACATCTACAAGATCACCAACATTAAATGCCCTATTATATCACTCCCAAGCTCTAAGGAAAGATGTCGAACAAAGGGAATAGCCTTAAAATACCTTTTCCTTTATAATTTATGCTGAAAATACCTTTGTCTGCACTACTACAACACTAAAACTAGTAAAATTAATCAGTAGTTAAGGACAAGAATTACTATGACAATTTGACAATTGATACGGATTCCTACCATAAATTACTATCTAAGAGCCAAGGTATCCATAAACCGATAAAAGATGGTTCTTACCTTTCTTTACAAGCCTAGAACACTTGCATAAAATCAAAACACTGAAAAAAAACTTTGCTGCCACAACCTCCACGGAGCTACACCGCTCAATTCACCATGAAAACTATACCAAAATGACGAGCTCGCGACGTAGGGCAATTTTTGATAAGGAGCCAAAGACACAGAAGGATGATTTGAGGAGTAATACTATGATTTTTGTGGGTTTCTTACGAGCTGGAATGAATAAAAATGAAGAATATGCTATCTTATAAGGTTCCACCGACCTAAGGGACCCAACTCATTGCCTTTTTGCGCAGTCTCGCAAAAATACAAATATCTCTCTATTCTGAAGTAGTATGAACGAACGGTTTGATATGTTGGAAACTAGACTCGTAAAGTTTTGATTTTATAGGTCTTGGGCCCCATAACACTTTATATATTGGGAGAAAATCTCCGAGACATTTGACCCAAAATTCAGAGAAATATTTAAAAAGAAACTTACAATGACTTTCGCCAACTTTTATTTTTCCACTTACCTAACTTCAAAACTTGAGATACAACCCTTGAACACTTAAAATATGACATACCACATCATTCTTAATTTATTATTCACCCTCTTTGTCTTTCCACGAAGGTACGAGTTAAATTAGAGTTTCGAAAAGTCGGGGTGTTACATTTATGTTGAATTCCCCAAGAACCCATAAAACCCCCATGTTTCTCATTTATGATCTTGTGATGTGGGTTTGTTGATGATAGAAGAATGTTATGAAATTATGCGTGTAGCTATTGAGTTACTTGAATTACGATGATATCCATGTCTAATGTAGTAATTCTAGATGAGTTGATTGGATTTGATCTTTGATCTTGGAAGGGTAAAGTATGAGAATTATGTATGATTATGAGATTTATGTATATTCTTTAAGAACACTTTGAGAGTAAAGTGATTATGACTATAAGGTAGTTGTTGTGTTGTTGAAAGGACATTCTCACATACACACCTATGCATAAATATAATATGATGGGAAATGTTTTCTCACAATATGATGATTCTAAGGTTGAAAGGCTTTCTCAGCTACTTGATTCTGATATATGAATATGTAGACATGGACGGTGAAAGTCTATTCTCACGCATGATCTAAGAGCTATCCTATGAATTATGTTGGATTGAATGTCAAGACATTTTTCCATGATTATGAACTAAGTTAAGAATTAATATGTACTATGTGGTAATAGATGCTTAGCATCGAGTGGATATTGATATGAGATGGGGACTCTCCCATTAGTTGAG